TAGGGACAAATTTCAATGGAGTTGGAAAATATATAAAAATGATTTTTAATTCAATTTATTGATACCTCTATAATCATTTATATGACTATTTATACTTAATTGTCACAATATATAATTTTAGCATTTCTTTAATTATTTTAAACTATTATAATGTATTGAGTTCTGCTCCTGGATAAGGGCTTTAACAGGCATCATCCAACAACTACAATGTTTAAAATTAAAAAATATTCAGCAAACACCAGGAAAATATACATTGTTGTGCTCACATGACCCAGGTTAGTTTAGTCAGATATTTGAAAAAATATATATTTTGTGTATATTTTATTCAAATCTGGTGCTTTATCCATAGGACCTGTTTTGTCCCTATTCTGAAGAATCAGTCATTTATATTAGCATATTAATACTTAAACTACACCTAATTATATAAAACAGTGTCTTCAATTCCCTTGATTCCCTTCACACATAAGAACACACATTACATTAAGATAATCTCAAGACTGACAAAATAAAACGTCACAAATTGTGAACTCCACCTTATGATTATAGTCAATAATTACATGGCACCACGAGAAGGGTCTTTAAACTGAAATAATTAATTTGTCAGTGGCAGTATTATGCAGATATTGAGGTGAAAATGTAACTTTCTTTGAAATTATTGTTTTATCCTAGAAAAATAGTCCCTTCAGTTCATTAGCCTTATTACTGCCTCATACCATTTATCATGAGTTGTCAACATGTAGTCTTAAAAAGATTCAAAATGTGAACACTAGAGGGCACCAGAGTTGGTGATTCTGTAACAATAAATGTTGACTTATGCACTCTTAAAAAGAAAAGCCAAGATTTGGTTCTGCACCTAATATTTATTAAAAAAATACAAAACTTCAAAAAGTTTCCATAGGAAAGCGATATGAATGTGCTATCCCATCTCTTTCATATCCAGTTTACATGCATGGTCAAACTTTATCAGAGTCTTGTTAATATCATGACGATACATATTAATATTATCGAAGAGTTAGACAAAAATAAAGAGGAGAGGAGGGTGTTATTTGCCGTTTGAGTCCCTGTGTTTAAGTGTTAATCTTCAAGATTTTAGTCTACTTTGAGAATCCATTTTTGAATACTAACACAAAATTTATATAAACACTTTCTGAAAAACTTTAAATTGTTAGACCTAAGTTACAGTTACAAACATTGACATAAAAACAAGATGCTTAAGATCTTGAAGACTAACACTTGCAAGGTTCTGTTCAGAAGCTCATGGAAAAGATAATTATAGCAGCCATTTGAGGATCTTTATCCCACCTCTGACCATTGCTTTGTGGGCATCAGATGTGACTATCCTAGTGGTGAAATACCCTGACCTAATAACATGGTGCAGGTCAGTTAGCATAAATAAGGTCTGGAATTTTGTTTATGTTCCCAAAAACCAACAGCCACCTCCATCTCTAAATACTTTCATAGCTGAGTCCTTCTGACATGTGATGTCAGTTCTTCAATTTAGAACTTTGTTTTTTTTTTACTTTTTTCCAGTTCTGAAAATAGGCACATGATTAAGTACCTCATACAAATACTAGAGGTCAACAGCAAATTATGTTAACACAGAGCTGCTTGTTACACCTTATCCAATACCCACAGAGATGGTCCAAGGTGTGACTCAGCCTCAGTCAAAGGTTGACTCCCAGCTTCTGTACAGAACACTGAAATATGTGCAACAACATCCCCACTTCTCTCCTGTCAAGTAACTGGCCTCAAAAATTAGCTTGAGAACTATCTGCTTAGTTTAATTAAAAAATAATAATAATAAAACAATAAAATTAAAAAGAATAAATCTAAGGAAAACAGCTTGTTTCTGTAGCTGGTCTTAAACCACATGGGCATGGCAAGGCTTAGTGGGCATGTCCAAGCTGCTCTCTCGGCCACAGCATGCTGGAAGGTCGAACAAGGACTCCTCCTCTACCGGAGCTGGAAGGCCCTGGGAGCAGACTTGCTGCACATATTGCCTAAAGGTGAAATGGGCACAAGTTATAATTTTAAAAAAGGAACTTTAAAAACTGTAGAATTTCCTCATGAGTTAATTTTTAAGACAAAAACTCACCAGGCAGGACGGGACATGACATAGTAAATGTCGGGTCTTTGGAAGCCATTAAAGGTGGAGGAAGCAGCTACAGTGTAGGCACCCATGTTCTCAAAAACCAGCCAGTCCCCCACCTGGAGGTCAGGCAGGGTACACAGTTCCACGATCCGATCTAGACCATCACATGTAGGGCCCCATATGCTGCAGGGGTACACCGCCTCATCTGGTTTTGGTTTCTATAAGAAACAATCGGAAGAAAGTTTATAAAGATCTGGCCAGCATTTTTTTTTTACCCTTTGATCCCACTGCAGAGATAAACTTTGAATCTGACTGACCTTATGCAATGTTGGCAAACAGTGAGCGTGGTCATAAAGGATGCAGTTAAAGGAGCCATACACCCCATCGTTGACATAGTACATCAGAGTTCTGTCACTGGTCCCTTCGTCTTCCTCTGCAAGAAAGAGGTAAGCAATTAGTTTCATGGTCATAATTAATTGGCAAGTGCAACATCTCAAGTTGTCTGTTCAGATGAAGCCCTTACCATCTGAAGATGATTCGTCATCCATGATGACCTTCTTAGCAATGATGTTCACCACTAATGTGTAAGCAGATGCCACGTAGAAGCGTCCCGGCTCAGCGATGACCCTGACCCCAGAGTCGACAGGAAAGTACTTGTCGAGGGCCGTGTTGATTACTACTGTAATCTAGAAACGGAAATGAGTCCACACGTAAGTCAAGTAAAATTTTACTTAAAAAACAGAAGATCCTGGTTAAACAAAAACATTTCAATCTACCTCTTCAAACTTCAGTTCAGTGTCATCCGAACCAGGAAAACCTCCTCCAATGTCCAGGAGATCCATGTTGTAGCCAAGCTCTTCCTGCATGTCCAGACATTAAGTTTAGGCTTATTTGCAGAGCAGAAAACATAAATTACAGCTGACTGCGCTCTTTACGAGCAACTCACCCCCATATCAAAGACACAGCGAGCATCTGCAATAGCTTTGGTGTAGGTCTCTGCATCAGTGCAGCCGCTCCCAACATGAAAACTGACACCGATCACATCCAGCCCCAGTTCCTTCGCCCGCTCCAAGAGACCGCGACAAGCTTTGAGGGGAGCACCAAACTTCACACTGAGGCGACACACGGCCTTCGAGTCATCTGTGGCGATGCGCAACACCAACCTGAATGGAGAACAGAAACGGCTTTAACAAAGGCCAAAAATCAAAGTCAATCGTTGTGTTTAAAAAGCAAAACTCTTACTTGGCATTGTCGTGACAACGGGCCACTTTCATAAGTTCCACTTCACTATCAAAGGTCATCATTTGGACTCCGTGTGCAGATGCATACTTTATTTGTGAGACCTGCTTGCAGGGGTTAGCGTAGATTATTCTGCTTGGATCCACTCCCAGGGACTGAACAAGCTGGATCTCAGTCTGTGGGAGGACAATTCCAACAGTCAGCAAAAAACGCAAGAGGCACCAGTGCACTTTCAGCTAATAAATAAATTGTGCCAACAGCATTAATGGAAAGCTCCCAAAGCCTACCTTGCTTGCACAGTCGAAGCCAGTTCCCAACGATGCCAGAGTCATAACTACAGCCTGGCTGTCGTTGCACTTAACGGCGTAGAAAGGAGTGATGCGAGGCAGAGCTCTTGCCCAACGGAGGTGTTTTCGTAAAACATCTCCCAAGTCACAGACATAGAATGCATCCCTGTCATCCTGAAATAGAAAAGCAAAAATAATGTTATAGATTACCTTTAACAAACATGAATAGTGAATTAGACCTGCTTATTACAGGCAAAAAAAAATTCTAAAAGTGAATAACTTGGACAAAGCTATCCAGTTTAATCAAAGGTGTAGATTTTCAGAGTATACCCTGCTGACAAAGCAAATCAGGCCATCTGTCCATTACACAAGCCCAACTGGATACTTACTGTCAAGGATGACTCATTGATTTTCTGCTCAACAATGTCCCGAGCAGAGAAGCCCTCTTCAAGAAAGGAAAATTCAAATTTGTTGAGTGTGGTGGTGTTCATCTTGATCAGTACTTTCAGTTCGTCACACGTAAACTGAAAGAATCAAAACAAAGAATACTCAGAAGACAGCATCCTTTCCCCTTATTGATTACTCCACTTGATTAGACTCTGTGGACCTGACATGTATGATCACTGTGAAAAATGTAAGGAACTCCAAAAGCATTTGGGTAAAACAGGATACTTACTTGGATATGAAAGAGTTGGAATACAGAACTGCTGTTACTCAGGTGCAGAGAAGCCAAGGTGGTTCACCAGTGAAGTTAAACCCCTTAAGATACAACTCAAGGCCTGGGCCTGTTGAGCAGCTGGAGTGTGCCTTCCTAGAGTGAAGATTCTGAAAGGAGGAACTTTTATTTAGCATTCTAGCGAATCTATAGCACAAACAATACATATGTACTCATACAGCAGCGTGAATTAATAACTTCAAGTTTTGTTACTCAGTCTAAAACTAGCGCCCTGATCGATACATTCACGTGGCTTTCTGATTTTATAACTTATAACTTGACACTAGAGTTGAAAAAAATCGTTGAAAGACAAGATCCTTTTAAGTCACACCCAGCCAAACGCTTTAGCCAATCAGAGATGAAGAACATTCTTCCACTTTGAACGATGGAGTAAAAACTAACCAATCAGCGAAGAATGACGTTCACATGCCGGTTCCGCTGGAGCGCCGAACGCCATGAGGCGATGTTACGTTTTCAATTTATTACGAAATTCATTCATCAAAAGATTTTTTAAAAAACGTTAATCGTTAAAGTTTATCACAAAATAGAAAAGACAAAAACATCCCGTTTGTCATAACACCAAAACCAGTTATAGAGAATAAGTCTTTCATGGCTTCGCTGTAACGGTAACAAAGAAAACGGCTTGCTAGCTTAACAGACTGTCACACCGGCCACGTCGTAGCTTTCAAAAGCAACATAACACTAAACTAAACCGACCAGTTAAATACAGAGACTCACCAAATGACAAATTCTTACCTTAAAAAGCATTTACAAAGAGTTTGTCCATTAGACCAGAGAGCTGGGGTTTAAAATAAAGCAGGTCCCTTCCTGTGAAGCGCACTGCTTGAGGTGTAGCTTGACTGAGCCGAGCCGAAAGAGCACTGGAGTATTTATAGAGCGGCCGTTTCCAGGGCAACGCAGCCAGCTGAAACCGGCCTCCCATCCACGTAGGAACCGGTTTAGGCTTGTCAACTCATCCACATGGTGGATAGAGGGACCTCCGCTGAAGGGACCACACACCGGGTTTATGGAGGTGCAGCAGACCCCTCAAACCAAATGTATTTCTTCGAGGAGCCTAATTTTGTCTCTAGACTGAGATTAAGACATAACAGAAAAAAACTCCTAAATTAACCACTGGTAAAATAAAATACACAATGTACATGGACTTTTGTTGCCATTACTACTGCAATAACGCATCTCATTCACATCTTTTAGTTTATTACCATTCAAGACTTGTCTCTGGTAACTTTTCTGATATGTTTAGACAAACTAGCTTGTCATTTTCAAGATAGTTTTTTCATTATGAAGAAGTTGAGAAATTGTAGCGAGAATGACAATGGTTACTCTCATACTTCCTTTATTACTTAAAAAAATTGTTTAACATCAACTACTTATGAGGAACTTATAACAAACTGAATGCTTGAAAAGCATTCCGTTCAATACATTCATTTTGAAGGAAAATTAAGGTTGTTTCTTTCTACTGAAAGAAAATATTGTTATATTGCTGTAATAAATAATAGTTATTTTTGGCTTGGTTCGGATTTATAATCCTCTATGTGTCAAAGTGTCAAAGAGTCCAAATAAGAACCATAATAACTTGAAATATGATTCAGTCATCTTTAAAGAATACAATGAAATGATATGTAGGGTTGGGGCATTTTGTATCTCTGTTATTAACAATATAGGCTACCAACAAAAATACACAAAAACACAATCGTTTGTGTACAAGTGATTTGTTTCTGCAAACAAAGTGAAGATAGAAAGGGACAAAATGGAATGGTGGTGGATGATCATAAAGAGAACTTCCTATGTAGCAAGAAATAAGGTGTGTCTCTGTTCCTTCACACAAACTGACAATGTGCAAATCTGTCAGTTTGTGCAAAGGCTGTCAGAAAATCTTGTAAGAAAACTAATAAATACCGGTAAGTAAATCATTTAAATTACCAACTGCCTAAATAGGAAAACACATTAGGTGTGTTCACACAGTTGGGTTCTTGGATATTATTTTTAATAGACAATCAATGTTTAAATAAGTCTTTACTAAAACACTTATAAACCTAACTTTTTAAAAACCAATTAAAAATTACAGGAGGTCAATAGAGTCTAACCTGTCAGTATGAATGATGAAATGTAGCCGGCAGCTCTTTAACAAACCTGCATTATGTTTGTGTGGCTAACAGAGAAGCTCAATCATACTTGGCTGCTTGCAATGATTTGTCAGCTCTGAGTGACAGAAAAGTCTCAGTGATGTCACCTGGCTTGACTGCAGTCTGTTTGGTCTCCAATGTGAGCTTGTGATCTGCATGATGAGATTAGAGAAGGTTTAAAGGACAACTGACATGGCAGATTCACACTGAATCACAACAATCCTACGAAGTCACGTGTGTTTATAGATTACTACTGTGTTACATCAACCAATTATTTGGATCCCTAAAATACAAGCTGATTTAGTTTTCCATAGCAAGTTTTATACAGTTGCAGCAATTTTTTTTTTCTTGATGCTTCACCTCATTTTACTCTGCAGACTCCAAAAAAAAGTCAAACTACATTTTGCATTTAAAAACAATTTTTTAAGTCGTCAGTAATTATATATATATATAGCTATAATAACTGTTTCATATGTTTATATATGTATGTTTTTTTTTCTTTGATGTGGGACATTTTATGACACAATAACTTGGTTTGTACCAAGGTTGTTTTCATGACTCCTCTTCTAAGTGCTATAATTTTCAAACCAGGCAGACATTTCACCCTGACAGCACACTCTGATCAGCACAAAGATCGTTTTCATAGCCATTTGGTTTACACGCAGACATTACCAAATGGAGGAAAATTAAGGTTTTTGGTTATTGAGACCCAGCACATATGGAAATGCTGCACAGGGATCAGATCGGAGGAAGTTTTGGGGCTTCTCACCGACCACATATCTGTGGCCCTGATGTTTTTTCCAGGTCTTCAAACCACAATCTAGATTGTCCTCAGCACACTTCAGGGTTTCCATTCTGCAGGGTTTTTTAAGTGAAGTCATTTTTACCAGGAGATGTAATTCTTTAAAACTAAGATACTGTCTGTTTCTGTGCTGGTAAAAGTTTAAATGAGGTTGACAGGGAAATTTTAACACTGACATAATCTGCAGTTATTTTAAGCACAAACCCTTGAAGCTCTCATTTCTTATGTAAAGCATCCAGGAACTAAGCAAATACTTCAGGGCTAATTCATTTTCTACAGATATTGACTTATTTAAAAATCACAAGATCAGGAAACACTAAAACAAATGTCACAATGAACTGTTCCACATCATTCCAGTCTTTTATTTTCTGTTCTGTTCTGTTTGTTGCCTTTATGCAGCTAATATGCTATCCTCTCCTTCACCCCTCTTCTTCTCTTCCTCTTGTAATGTCTAGCTCCGTCTCTGTGTGCAGTGTCTGTTATCGTAACTGTGGACTATTGTGGCCCAGCGCCCACAGTCGCAAGGTCCCACCATCAGACAAGGATGATAATTGTTTGTGGGCGCCCACAAGATACAGTACAGGATTTGAGGCCTTGACTTGCGGTGCTGAATGTCACTGTTATTTCCCTCAACCGCTTTTAGAATACCCGAGGTCTTTTCCGAACCAGTAACTGACTTCAGTGAATGAAAGAATAGAGTGTATGAGGGATTGGCGAAGGGAGACATGAAGGGGGATGAAGAATGGAGAGAGAAGTGGTTGGTCCACGTGTGCCTTTATCAAGAGGGAGAAGATATCTGCGAAATGCAGAACAAATGCACTGGCACAATTTCTCAACAATGTGAGTGACGTTCACAGATGTGGCAACAACAGAAAGAAAGAGTTGATGAATAAGTTCTACACTGAAGAGTGTAGAACAAGTTAATAACAATAAGTTAAAGAGGTAGTGGGTTTTTTTTAATATAAGGTAATACATGTGTCAAGCTCAAGAGTTGGGGGGACCAAATCCGGCCCACTATCGCTTTTTATGTGGCCCTTTCTAGACTCTACGTAAAAAAGAATCTTCAAAAAGCAATTAAATATACTGTCGATACATCAGCATGAAAAGGTGTTTGATACACCTATATATTAATATTTTGACAGTTTGTCAATGGGTTTAAGCAATGCATTCTGGAGCAACCTGCACTTTGAGGATATTCATGACATTGATATTGCCTAAAATAAAAATGAGTTTCTCTTTACTGTATCTAACCTGCCTTAGATACAATGCTGGAGAACACATATTCTTACATTATTATTTTTTTATACCTACAACTTTTAGGTTATCTCACAAATTTAAAACTAGATAAAATGATATTGAACAGGCAGAAGAAAATGAGAAAGACAACAGCAAAGCTCTGTAATTTCAATCAAGGTGGATAAGCAGGGGGTTGGTGGGACACAGGACAATGGTGGGGGGTAGTGATCTACATGTAAAGTGAGAGGCTGAATGGTGGTGAAGTAGAGTTTAAAATATCCTCTAACGGTCTTCCAGCAACAGTCATCTCACATAACAAGCTGGTTTCTATTGGTAACCCTGCATCATGTCCTGATTCATCCATTCATTTAAGCTGATTCACTCTGTGAAACCAATAGGTAGGTGTTGGGTCAGAGATTGGGAATCACAGGTATTAGGAGGTAAGCAAGCAAAATCCATGAGGGCTTGACCTCCATTAGATTAACATTTCTGGCTGACCCAGACAGAGGCTAACGATGGTGTCTCAACATTTGGCTTATCAAGTGAACAGATGGTGCAGGAGATCAACAGTCTGGTAGGATGTAGGTAAAACATCTATTACCCATCACTCTGACTGGTTAGACATGTGGCTTCAAACTGTGAAATAATTTTATGCAGAGCTTTGCACAAAGGTTTTTACTTGCTTCCAGAGTTCTTCTCCTTGTGTTTTTTTGTCACATTTACATTTTTCAAAAAAAAAAAAAAAAAAATCGCATCAAAAGAAATTGACAACAACACATCATATAAGATCAATCAATCAAATCAAGAACAGATTAAATAAAGTCACTGACTTCAGTATTACAGAGTCATATATAATTTTGAGACCATGGTTGGTTTGGGACTCCCATGGATGACTGTGTGAGAACCCACAGTCCCTGTCTCACATTTCCCCAATATATTCATAAGAAAATTTGAGAAGAATATTTTGTTTGTGGAACTTTTTTTGAAGTCAACCTGGTATTATCTGGCCTAAAACTAACATAGCGGTGGTAATGTGATGGTCCGGTGCTGCTTAACAACTTCGAGGACTTGCTGAAATTGATGAAAAGCGTGTTGAGTTGAGTTCTGTGGGAGAAAGTAATCAGTTCTTAAACTCAACCCTACTATTAATTAAGCTCAGATCAAGCTTGCTTGAGTTGCGCAGCAAGACAGTGATCTAAAGCAAGTCTACTTCTGAATGTCTTTGGAGTGGCGCACTCAATATCTGGACTTAAATCTGATAAACACGCTATGGCATGATCATATTCAGTCAGATTGTTACGTCTGACGAAAGAAACAAAAAAAGTTATGCAAGGCGTAAACACTCTTTCACAACATTGTACCTAAATTAACATATTAGACCATATTGTTTCTGTTCTTCTCGCCTTGCTACAGGGAAAAAATAAAAAAATAAATTGTGAGCTGCAACAGTGAGATATTTCAGGGAAACACAATGTTCCACATTTTCACTGAATCTGAAGGCAGTCACTTGCAATTTAGGTTTGGCTGTGAAGTCAGGCATGTTACCACAATACTCTTATTAAAAAGACTCAGTTTAAAGGTTCGTTTTTGTCGTTGACTCATCCAAGGCTGGTTTCTTCACCAGGCTGATGGCGTCAGACTGATACTGATTACTTATGCAATTTTCTGTCCTCACGATTTGCAGAACAAACTCATA